AGGAATAACTGGTTAATCAATGGAACCAGGATTTCCTGGTTAATATAACCAGGAATGCGTCGGTCCCATATGGAATACTTTCCTGGTTAAAATTTAACCCCATATTGGTTAAATTTAACCAGGATGTTTTTAGAGTGTAGGTATGATATTTAGGTGAGATATGGGCCAGCATGCCACAGTCGGTAAGTAAAATTGTCTACTATGAAATGTCAGAGTTAAATAATAATATTAAAGTACTTAAGTAGGAAGTGTTATATGTCAACATGAAACATGAGCAGAGTCTAGCACTCTAGCTAGACACTTTCCTTGACAAATAAAATTGTCCGGCATTAGGCAAGATAACATTTAATAACATAGTGCTGAATATTGGGCTCATTGGAGTGAAATGGGTAATTCCAAAAACAATCACACCCTTGCCGGGGTGTCTCTAAAATATATAAAATGAAGCCCAAAGGTTGTTAAATATGTTATTAAGTAGATGATGAAGACATGTGGTGTAGCTAAATGTATTCATAAGTTTGAACAAGCAAACTAAAGACTTTAACTTTAACGAGTTGCCACACATGACAAGAACACATCAAATTGATATTTTGATCTATTCTAAACTGACCCACCTATATATGAATAAATATTGGAAACTTATGAAAGTACCTGTTCATTTGAAAGCAGTCGATAAATTTTCTCAAACCATGTTTAGCTGGGACATGCCTGGGTAGGCATATGAGAATTGAGTATAGATGCCAAGCTATATTATTTTATACAAAAACACTGCAATCTGGCAATCTGTTATATACACTATACACAAAGGTCAAAGTATACTATTTGGCATTACAATAAAAAACATTTAATATAAAGGCTGAGTCGAATGTAAGCCTTCTATAAAACTAATGTTGTTTTAAATCAAATATTGTGGGAGCAGATTGAAATTTTAAGCTGGAACATGTGCTCAAAATTCACGAATGAAGATAGTAAATATTTCCTTTCAAGATATGTTATTTTCTGCTGTTCGCAGATTAGCAGAAAATTTATGTTTCCACGGCTCATCAAACACGTGACTGCCATGTTCATTGGCAGGGCGCCAAAGTGGTCACATGATTTGGGCAGCTCATTCTAGTCTGGCACTGCATCAACACACACAAATTTTTTTACAAACAGTACTTTTAGTATTTTTACATTTATTATAAACCTTCAACAAATCAAAACGGGCACAATGAACGAAGAATTGAGAACAGAATTCCAGAAACAACAGGAGTCTATGCTGGAAAAGCTGTCGGCCGTCATGGATACGAAAGTGGGCCAGATGAAGCGTGAGCTGGAAGAAGTGGCCAACAAAGCACATTCCTCGCAAATGACAGAACTCAAGCGAATGAAGTTCTCGGAGCCGCCGTCTTTCAAGAAGAAAGGCCTCGAAGTGCAATACAAACATAACGAGCAAGTAAAACTTTGTATCCCCGAGGCAGAGGACGCAATGAAACACAAGAAGCTAGACACGTGTCTCGAAGAGCTGGGTGAAGGTAAGGAGCAAATCGAGTCGAGACAAAAGCTAATTCTTAATTCTTACAGATAAATCCGAGTATGGGTGGAAAACCGTATCAGAATATCTCGATAACGAGCTGGCCGACGATGAGGAGGACGCCAAAAAGATTAAGAAAGCCGAAAAAGAGGCCCAAAGAAAGCTTAACGAGACAAGAAAGCAAAGAAAACTCGCGCCAGCAGTCGCGGTGGATTTTCCTGGTCGCGAAGAGGATCTTTCAATGGCGGACGAACCTGGGTTTCCCCGTATTTAGGGCCACATCAACAGCCAGCACCATGGACTTATCCCAACAACCATCTCTATAGTAGTAGTACAGTTGGAAAGAAACCAGGGGTTGTCGACTGAAGTACAGCAGAGTGGAGGCGCCGTACGAAAGTTATGTGTAATTTCGTCAGATTATGAGGGGCTAGGCGAAGATGTAGGTTCTTTTCCCAATGTGTTGGGCGAGGATAGTGAGTTAGAGCGCTTTGCACAGGACAATGATACCCTGCTTGAGGAAGGGGAATTTTCCCAAGGTGATCCCAATGAGGGCCATGTGGGGGGCGGGGGGCAGACTAAAGGAACAAATTTCCTCTTGGGAGACTCTACAACCTCCTGAGTATGTAGTCAAAATTCTCCGGAAAGGTAAATCCTTCCTTTGACTACAATACCAGAACCCCAGATCCTTCGGAACAACAAAACTGCTTTGGAAAACGAGTCTTTCGTAACCGAAGCTATCACTGACTTATTAGCTTGTCAGAGCATAGCTATGGTGGATCTCCTCCCTCTAGTGGTCAACCCTTTGTCAGTGGCCACGAACGCTAGGGGTAAGAAACGTTTAGTCTTAGAACTCAGACACGTCAACCCTCACTTACACAAACTAAAATTTAAATGCGAGGATGTTGACACAGCAGTACTCTTACTGAATTCTGGTGATTTCTTGTTTACATTTGATATCAAGAGTGCACCCCGTCATGTAGAAGTTTTTAAAGATCATCAAACATATTTAGGTTTTCAGTGGGTTTATAACAGTAAGCCTCACTATTTTATTTTTTGGGTTCTGCCCTTTGGGCTTTCTACTGCACCTCTGGTGTTTACTAAAATTTTAAAACCAGTACTTCGACATTGGAGGTCCTCAGGTAAAAGAGTCTGCATGTTTCTGGATGATGGCTTAGGGGGCAGTTCATCACTACAGAGTGCCACCATAGTCTCACAGTCAAGAGAGATCTGATTCAGTTAGGGTTCCTCCTCAGCGAGAGTAAGTGTTTTTGGGAACCAGTGCCGATACAAACATGGCTTGGCCACATTTTTAATATGTCGCTTAATCAGTTGTTTGTTACCGAAACACGGTTACCGAAATTGGAACAATCGCTAGATAACATCTTAGGGTGCCCCCAAAAAGTAACGACGAGACAACTGGCAGCAGTAGCAGGGCAAATAGTGTCCATGTCCCGGGCCATCGGCCCAAAAGTTTATCTGTATACACGCCATATGTATTTCGCTATAGAGACTAGGGAACATTTGGGATCCATTTTGTCATTCAATTCTAAACTCACAACAGAATTACAGTATTGGGTAAGCAATGTCCGCACCCTTAATGGTAGGGACATGTTCAGAGAACCACAGCATTTTGACACCATTGTGTACTCAGATGCCTCAGACCAAGGGTATGGGGGCTATGCGATTTCCAAACCATCAGACACTGGTCTGTCAGGGACACTGGTTGAAAAGCGAGAGAGGGAAGAGTTCCACTTGGCGGGAACTTAAGGCAGTACATAATATGCTGTTAGCAATAGGAAAGAACTTATGTAATCACCTGATTCAATGGTACACTGACAATCAAAATATCATACACATTTTAGCTAGGAGCAGTAGAAAACAAGAATTGCAGAGTTTAGTGGAAGCAGTGATAGAGTCAAGTAGTGGATTTGGTTTTTCAGGTCGGCCCAATTTGGGTCCCAAGGGAGGAAACCAATTAGCAGATTATCTCAGCAAACTGTCTGATGGTAACGATTGGGGCATCCACTCACACATTTTAAATTGGATCGATTCCATGTGGGGGCCATTCACGGTAGAAAGGTTTGCTACCTGTTATAACACCAAGTGTGCTCGATTTAACTCGCGTTTCTGGAACCCGAACTGTGAAGGGGTCGATACTTATACGATAAGTTGGGCAGGGGAAAACAACTTGGTAGTTCCCCCACCTAGTCAGATTATCAAGACATGGAAACATTTCCAAATTTGCAGAGCACGGGGAGTTTAAATAGTACCTCTATGGAGAGGGTCAACTTTCTGGGCAAGCATATGCCCAGACGGCACTAATTTAGCTCAGTGTGTGACAACTTGGGCCGGCATCCCAGAGTGGAACCACCCAGCCACAGTACCTGGCAGATCCCATAACACCGTTTTCAATGGTGATATACTGCCCTTCAAATTAATTGCACTCTATATTGATTGGCAAACATGCAAGAAAAGGATATCAAACAGAGGTTTCTGTATGACTCCTTCCGGTATGTGTACAGAATGCATATAGCTCAGCATAGACTTCTGGGGATGGTTTCTTCCACAGGTGGTTGTCATATCAAGCCTTAAGATTTTACAGTCCACAGGTGACTATTTTCCCACAGGTGGTAGTAATCTCAAGGGATTACAGAATAATTTCAGGGCATTCCCACCGGCGGATAGTCCCAGAAAGAAAGTGAATTCGTTAATGGCTCAGTCCCCCGTTCTTAATTGACATCGGGTTTTCGTTAAGCATTGGGAATATCTTTGTGCAGGAATGGGTCGGGCCTGTTAGATATTGGCCCTCGCGAGTCCCAATTTATGCCATTTTAGTATACCTATATGCTTTCTTTGTTTTCACCGGCTCAAACTTGTTTGACCATAGTCAGGCAGATAAGAGCTCAAAATTATGTGCACACTTACCATGTCGGGGGTGGGGGGAGTTTAAATTACGATGTACTTGCAGATTAAAACCTCCTGATGATGTTATGGAATGTTGTTTTTGAATTTTTTTCTTGCGTGATATGTTCAACATCGCTTTATTTACTCTTCCTATCAATTCGAATGTCAGCCATTTTGTTTGTAAATTTCGCATGAAAAGTTGAGCCCACGTTATTTCAGACAGCGATTTGACATGTTACTTGAAGTAACACAAACATACAAAAGATTACAATGGATGGTTGTCCTTCGTCCTAAAACCGTCCTAATAAACAGGTGGGAAATTTGTCGTCGCTGACCAAAAAATTGCGGGCAGAAACAAAGCTCATTGCATTTACATTCAAAACAAAGCAGAAAGTTAGCAAGAAGCTGTTTTAGCTGACGATTTTTTGCTTTCCATTCAACGATTTACAAATTATTGGTTATTCTTTTAAAAGTCGATCATGAATTCTTTGTTTTGGGATGATTGTTTTGTAATCGAGTGATTGGAAGAAGTTAATATGGCGACGTGAACATGGGAGTAAATACCGTATACGTCGATCTATGGCTTGTTTAAAACCGTAATAAACGAAGAAAGACGTGATTTGAGAATGAAATGTAAGTTGAAATTAACTTTATATGCCTCAAATTTTCCATCCTATGTTTCTTAATGTAACTTCAGCTGTCTAAGTTCAAAATACAAGCTCGCGAAATTTGACAAATTTTGAAAATATGTAAAAATAGCTTGACTTTGAACTGTATTTTCTCAAAAATAGCCCGTGGCCTCAATTTCAAATATAGCTAAATGAAAAGAAAAAACTTTTCGGCGTTTGTAGGTATCAAACATATCGTCAGGAAAATAGGGGCTCACAATGTTTTAGTTCAGTCTTTGAGACCCAGTTGCTTCGCACGTGTTGTGGTCAAATTTTTGCCAAGAATCAAAGACCGAAATGTGAACTTCCTTCATGAAAACCGCTTCAAGAAGGGTCTAGTTTGAAAATTTAGCTATTAATTTCGATTTCATGAGCATATTTTGGTTACACGTTAAGTATTTTTGTGCTTGATGCGATTCAAAATTTGTTGTATATTCAAGCCCGGCTTTTGTGTAATTTTGGTGATGACCGGAACAGAAATAAAGATATTTTAAAAACTGGCCGTGGCCTCACAATAAAACTTTCTACAAATGTTCTCTGTTTCATGTACTTTTATTTGATATCTTAGGTATAAGCGTAAAAATAGGGGCTCATACAGTTTGAGAGGTTGTAAAATGCATGACTTGCCTCTATTTTCATGTAAACATTCGAAATTCTTCGACAGCAAAGTAGCAACTGTTTCAGATAGAATGCACACGGACAGCCCACCAGAGACAATGGCAGGGTACTGAAATAGAACGGCACTAAAAAGTTCTGTATGATTAATTTAGATCATGTCCACTCTTTCAACATAAAACAGTCATTTATTTTGTACAAACATTTTGCAATATTTACACGATTGTGCTTTTTTGTAAACACGCGTTGCGTGTATTCCACACAATTGCGTGACTCATTTTACTCGCGCATGCTCAGACAAATTTCCCACCTGTTGTCCTAATACCAATGCCTAATACTCTGCATCATCATCTGAGTGTTCAAGCATGTCCGTTTCATCTTTATCAGGCAAAGTGTTGACACACGAGTTACAGTCACACAAGTCAGTGCATTTAAGTCCATGGGCTATACATGCACACACTCTGTTGAGACAACCTGACTTCTTGCAGCCACATGCCATGAACTCTAATAGAGAATCGGGTGCTGGTTTTTGACTCATCCATTTTATTTCGAGTCGATTATTTACATTAATCCAGCCGAATCCATTGGGGTGCGGGAAGTTGCTGTTAGGTACCAACGCAAATTTCCAAACAAAGGTTACATAATTGGCTCTTAGTCAATGGAGCAGTAATTCGTCTTCTGTAGGTGGGTGTTGCTGCGGCTCTTGGAACTTTTGCCTTTGTACAAAACTTCCTATATCGCGCATCGTTAATACTTTGACAGTTTTTCACGCCATAACATTCGGAAACTATCTCCTGAATTATAGGGAAAACTTCCATTTCAAAATTAACACTCCTTCCCATACTTGCCAGGACATCGTTAAAATTATCAGACTTCTTGACAACTTTGTACATCTTCTGTTTTTCTATGCCAAAAAAAGGGCTGGTGTAATCACAGCCACTTAATGCGTGCAATGCCGGAAGGGCATCAGACATATCTTTTCCGATACTTTCGTGCATCTTTGAAACATCCAGGATTCTTTTCTTGCCTTTTGATCCAATTTGAAGAAATAAATTGCTCGGCAGCACATCTTTATAGTAGGTCGCAAGAACGCCTACGTCACTGTCAACGGTTGTAATACAAATACTTCCACAAAATAATTCTTGAATTGCGTGTTGCGAGCAAAGGAACATTTTGGTATCAGCTTCCTCTTGATTAGAAAAGAGATTTTCCTCAGGCACAGATCTAACCAGGTCATCTTTCACTTCCAAACGATAAGCGCGAGGCTCCAGTGTAATGAATAAAACACGATGTGCAATTATTGCTTTAAAACGTTCAGGATCAGACCAATCTTCTAGGAAGAATCGCACCAGACCCACCTTGTTGCAACCATTGTCAAGGAACTTTTTGAACTGCTTAGGTATTTTTTTATCTCGCCTGGTAATTTGTATACGGATGCTTCCTTCTGGTGCTCGCCGCTTTCGTTCACAGCTTTTCAAGGAATCTTCACGATATTGGTCGGTTGTAAAATATACGAATTTATGTTGAACAGATGTGATTCTCTCTAAGACGTATTTGGAAATATCGCCAAATGTTTCTAGGCTGGTAGACGGTGTTTGCTGAATAATGACCATGCCATCATACACTCGAACGCAATCATTTGGAATTTCAATCGCATCTAGCAGCTTTGCTTTATTTGTCTTGGCCAGACAACCATCTGCTGTCGCCAAAGACCATGGAATGGGCCCCAAACAATAAGTAAGCACGTCTCTTAAAGAAACTTCTCGCTTTCCACAAATAACCAATAGTCTCGCAAAAATATCTCTGTCTGCTTTCATGGTGATGTTTCGTTCTCCAACTCTGCAGGACTTTTTGGCTTTCATTGATAAAAAATTTTTAACTTCATCTTGGGAATTGGAGCAAACATATCCTCCTCGCGTGACTCGATTCGCTTATCTATGAAGTTTATCATTGCATCTTTCCCCTTCTTTTCTGCGTTCATAAGATCACGTTGAACATCATCACTACACTCCAAGCCAGAGCACAAGTGCACGAGTCTGCTGTTCTTCTTGAATGGTGTTCTACGTCTTCAAACACTCCTCTTGTTTTCGCCCTTCTCTTCACATGTACTCCATCATTCGCGGAGTCAATTGATGTGACCAAGGAAACAGGCTTGTTATCAACCCATTGTAGGGTTAACGCATTCGATTCCCTTACCCATCGCATGCTATATACTTCGCTTTAATTTCCTCGCCCACACCTTCACATCCTTCATGAATTCGGGGAAAACCTCCCTGTTAATTTTACATGTGCCTGGTAATGGGGTGTCAATCATGAAGAGTTCTTGAAGATAAGCTGAATATGAAAACCCTGCGGTTAGGGACTGGTCATAAGTAACTGCTAGGGATGGGCTGGAAGTAAATCACATATTTTGCCAATAAGTTTGGTGACCCATCTTAGGATATAGATAAGAATTTCAAAGCCCATCTAATCTTACAAAATATTTTTCATGACCCAACCAATCTACTCACTGAAATCTGAAAATACACTCTTTTATAATAAAAAAAACTTGCAAGTATATGAACTTTCTAAATGTACACCGGCACTGTATTGGCATACATAATTCCACCAAGCTTGACCAACACATTCATCACCAACTACGATACGCCTGAGCTGCATGCTCTCCAGTTGATTGTATTTGCTGTGATTCGACTACTTCTTGCTGTTGTATAAACAAAATACTGTCTTCAAAAGCATCATTTGCATTTGATAATTTGGATAGTTTTGTTTACTTTTATAGAATATAGATAGTTTTATAGATAGTTTTGTTCCTTTTCTCGTACAAAGTAAATGAGGTTTTGTGGTTGCAATATCTAGTTATAAAAGCGTTTTCAGTCAGACCAATGTATGTTTGAGGTGGACTACTGTTGTTGGCAGAAACTGTAGCTTGACATACAATAGATTCGACCAAACACTTTTTGGACATTGGGCACTCCTCTTTCTTTCCACAGTTACATGTGCTTTCTTCGCTCGTTGTGGCGGTTTGTGACAGTTTGGTCTTTTTGGGTCCGTCGATGGTTTGTTTGATATAAGGCATGCAACTGTAGCTTATTTTAACAGTGTTGCGGTTGAATATTTTGTGTAGGGGGTGGCCTATCGGGAATTCATCATTGATGATATTCAAAAATGTTTGTCCAATATTTGTTCATACATTTTTACTAAATGGTGGATTGTACTAAATGATATTACGTCTTAGATTTCGGGTTCGAGGGGTTGTATGATTAAGTGGGTGCTTGTACTTTAACTGGTGTTTATAACCACTATTCTGAAGTGCTTGCTGGTATTGTTGTGAGGCTTGTGAAAATGATTCCTCATCGGATGATATTTCAGTTAGGCGTTTGTTGATAGACAGTGGGATATTGCGCAGGATATTAGGTGTGTGATTAGATTTATTGTGCACGTAAAGGGGTATATTATTAGGTTTGGCGTATGATTGATATTTCCCGGTTGACAAATTAAGGGTAACGTGAAGAAAATGGACTATTTTCTTGTTAGCTTCAATTGTGATTTTAAGTCCGTATTTGTTGAAAATGGAACACAAATCTTTTTTGATATTTTCTATCTCACGCGCTGTCGCTTTAATGACTCCTAACCCGTCATCTCTATATAATCCGAAGTTGTTTCCATGCTTTGTTGTGATAAGATGTAGTAAATATGAACCCACTAGTTCATACGATTCTGCACCGTCGAAGCTGCTCATTGTAACATCAAAGAGACTAGATGATGTCCGTTTACCCCAATAGTTTCCCGAACTGTGTAAACATGATGTTTTGGCGTGCATAATAATTTCTCGTTCCTCGTTCGTCCGTAATATTGTCGTAATTTGATGCGAAATCTAAAGCAGCGTCGAGAAGTTCAATCGAAATAGATGGATAAAAGTCAACTACGTCAAATGCGATAAATGAATGCTGATCTTTGTCGGCGATGTTATTAAACCACGTCAGGACAGATTTCGTATTTTTCCATTGATTCATGCCGGTAGACTCGATAACTTTCGCGTTGATTCTGTCTAGAATTTGTTTACTCACTTTACTGATTTCGGACTTACGAGGGTTGATAAGACGGCAGGTAGGGTTATTTTCAAAATTAGTTTTGTGGTCCTTTAATGTGATAAAGAGTTCTCTCTCAGCTGTGGTATTAGTTCGATCAGTTAAATTTAATTTGTTCGCAATTGATTTCGATCGGTTTCCAATGGACGAAACTGTTTGTGTGGAGATTTTCTTGTAGGTTTTAGTGATGTTTTTCTGCAGTAGTTGTAGGATGGAGGGTCCATCTTGTAAAAGTTGGTGGTTTTATCAGCAGGCACAAACAGTGATCCGTTTTTTCTAATATTTTTGACATCAGATGATATTTTCTTCTGAAATCCGCATTTCACATCTTTAAATTTCACATTTTGGATCATATCATGCATTTTATTCTCAAAACTTGCTAGCTCGGGTATATGCGACGGGATTTCTTTGAATTAAATCCGTACGTTTCTTTCTTGTCGTGTTTGTTTTCTGGATTAAGAAAAAAGTGTGCTTTCCATCTCATACGTTTACATAAATGTTCCGTTTTTTCAATAAGTGTTTTCTTGTAGTCATTTTCCGATGGTATTGGAATATTCTTGGTGGAATATCCAAACTGTGTCGCTTCCATGTCAAAGGTTATTATAAAGAGTGCTCGACAAAAAAGGAGTAAATATAGAATTAGGATGTCTTGTGGTACGAAAGTAATAGTAATAAAGATGCCTAGTGGAATTTGTTGAGTCGTTGCACTTATTTAATTATGCTCTGGATATCCATTGAGCACTCTGCCAAATGTTTTTGTAAACAACGAAACCTAATTATATATATATATATATATATATATATATATATATATATATATATATATATATATATATATATATATATATATATATATATATATATATATATATATATATATATATATATATACAGTCATTGCCAAAAAGGTTGTCCAGATGAAATATATCTATAAATATATAAATATCGATCACGTGACATGTATTTATTCGTGGGGCGTGCGTGGTAATTGCGTGTTCGATTAGCGTGGTGAAATTTTCCACAATGCCAGGGCCTTATTCGAATGATTTACGCTGGAGGATGATATATCAACGATATATTTATAATAGAAGCTGTGAGGATATATCTTCACAATTATTTGTCCGAAAAGCGTCTATCGGACATTTAGAACTTTTGTAAACACGGGTGATGTGAAACATGCCGTCTTGGTCGCCCGACGGGAAGCATAACACTATTCAGTTCCCCATGAAGAATGCATTTTAATGGATTGTAGTACTCCACTTCGCAACCCGCAAATGCAACTCCATGAAATGGCTGATAATATCGCCAATGTCACTGGATCAGCGTTTGGGCCCGCGGAGACCCTATGCCGTGTTCTATATAGGCTTGGAATAACGCGTAAGAAGGTAAGCTGTGACATTTTCAATAAGTTAGTATGGCTGGCCATAACACACATATTGTTTCACCGAGCCGGCCTATGAGCAATGATTAATACGTCTTATAATAAAAAAATGTGATAATTTTGAAAACTGATTTCCTTTTCTCCAGATACAGAGAGTTGCTCTTCAGCAAAACGAGAACGTATTTAGCCCAAACCAACTAGTTTTTGTCGATGAAACTGGTACTGTATGTAGGCGAACAAAACATATAATTATACCTGTCGTTTTACTGTTAAGAACTGATCGCATTCCTATATTTATTTAGCTGTACTTTTGTTTAAGGATAAACGGATAACTCGTCCCGTCGTCCGTGATTACAGCTATGCTCGGTGGGCACCTCATTATTCGGCTATATCAGCAAATTCGAGTGATGAACCGTTCAACGGGGAAAACCCGCGATCTGTATCGTCATTAATGTAAGAGTAATTAATGCAAAATTAACTAACTTAATGTGTATACAGGGTGTCTCAAAAAAACCCAAAATCATTGAAATAACGTATTGTTCGAATTTCAATGCCGTAACACAAAGGATTTTGACAGGGTGATTAATTTGTTTTAAAAAATTAAAATATCTTTGTAAAGTGAACGTTTGTTTGCTCATGGGAATTTAAAAATGCTTCGTAAATTGTAATATGCGTAATATGCATTCGTGGGTTTAGTACTTTATGCCTGACATAACAAGTTTACGCTGAGTATTACCATTCATTATAGCAGTTATGTCAATCTCTTATGCACTCGTGGGATTAACTTAGTGCTAGGGCATTGAATATCGAACAATACGTCAATTTCAATGATTTTGGGTTTTTTTGAGACACCCTGTATAAATAAAACCAATACGTGTTATTGTTATAAGCACAAGTCTTTAAGCCCCAGGGAATTTTCAACCTATTGTATGTCAAGTCTTTCGTAATTAGTCATACAGTATCTCAGTAGTTCGATTATAATTCTGTTTTACCATAGACAATCCAGAAGACATACATACAAGCAAAAAAGTTAGTACTGTTAGAAGATTTATAATTGTATATATATATATATATATATATATATATATATATATATATATATATATATATATATATATATATATATATATATATATATATATATATATATATATATATATAGCTATATCATTTAATAACCGTTGTGACAAATTAAAAACATAAATTTAAATTCTCGTGGAGACTCTTAGAAAAGTAATATTTGCTGGGACTTGCAACGTATAGAACGTTGGAGACAAAGGATTGCTTTACAACCTTACACTCAATTGTATTCATTAAAAACAATTAGAATGATCGAATTAAGTAGACCTCATAATGTGTTCTACAGTGGAATAACTCTTATAAGAGAGTATAGGAGAGTAGAATATGCGCAGCACTGAAAAATTCGTTTCCTGTATAAAAATGTAGTTTTGCGCTTTAGAAGAGCTTATAAAATCAAATAAATTAAGTTTTTAAAACTATTTCAAATAGTCAAATGTAGCCAGCGTGATGCATGTATCCCGAACAGTCATTCGACGTAATTTGTCCGTATGCATTCCAGATTAGGGGGCTAGGATATTGCAATAAGTGTAGTATCAAATGATTCTGACGCAAATAGTGTTTAACATTCCCAAATACTTCTTCTATCTAATTGCTCCATAGTCATAAACACGTTCTATGACTTCTTGGACATGATGAACAGCGTGATTGTCTGTTGAAAGTAGGCACATGCATGCATGCTATTAATTTCTTTAAAGTTTGTCTTTTGCAGTAATTTTCATATTACTAATAATATGTGAAACGTCATAAAAAAACAAGAACTTTTTAAATCAAGCTATTGGAGTGTTAGAATTTCAATGCCTAAGGGCCTGTTCATATGGGCAGAAGTTATCCCGGTTAACGAGAAAACTTTTCGACTAGCCAAATACCTTTGTTCTGTTCATATGGAGAACCTTCATCCCGCTTACCAGGTAAAGTATTCGGCTGTGACGTGGCACTGAACATCAATTGAATTGAAAAGTTGCTGACACGACAAAAAGTTATCCCGCTAAGCGAGAAAGTTGTGTTCATATGGGAAAAACATTATCCCGGTCACCGAGATCTCGCCTGTCAACAAGCGAGATTTCGGTACACGGGAAAACTTTTTGTCTCATATGAACACAGTGTAACTTTTCATATTATTTTCATACCAAGGCGAGATCTCGCCTGTAAACTTGTCGAAAAGTTTTCTCGTTAACCGGGATAACTTTTGCCCATATGAACAGGCCCTAAGTAACACGCAAAACTCACGGGTTGGTGTATAAAATAGAATTATAATCGAACTAATGAAATGACTAATTACGAAAGACTTGACATAAAATAGGTCGAAAATTCCCAGGGGCTTAAAAACTTGTGCTTATAACAATAACAAGTATTGGCTTTATTTATATACACAGTAAGTTAGCTAATTTTGCATTAATTACTCTCACCCATGACGATAACAGATCGCGGGTTTTCCCCGTTGAACGGATTCATTGCCGGTAAAAGCTGCTCATTAAGAAATTGTATAAACGAATTCGCGTTAAATCTTTCCTCTGGATTTTTCATCAGTTGGTTAGCTATAAGCCCGTCACTCGAAATTGCTGATATAGCCGAATAATGAGGTTCCCACCGAACATAGCTGTAATCACGGACGACGGGACGTGTTCCACGAGCGCTATAACCATATTGTCGAGTTATCCGTTTATCCCTTAAACAAAAGTACAACTAAATAAATATAGGAATGTGATCAGTTCTTAACAGTAAAACTACAGGTATAATTATTTTTTGTTAGCCTACATACAATGCCAGTTTCATCGACGAAAACTAGTTGGTTCAGGGCCCGCGGAGCGTATTAGAGAGTGGGGGGCTAAATCATCAATAAAACCCCCAATTAATTAATTTAGAAACTTTCATTTAGATTTCTATTTTAATAATTTTGGCTGTCAAAAAAAGTGGGGGGGCTAAAGCCCCCCCCAGCCCCCCCGTCTCCGCGGTCCCTGTGGTTTGGGCAAAATACGCTGATCGAAGCCTTGAATTGTTGCCTGAGGTTCTCGTTTTGCTGAAGAGCTCTCTCTGTATCTGGAGAAAAGGAAACTGATCAGTTTTCAAAATTATCACATTTTTTTATTAGTGTTATGGCCAGCCATACTAACTTATTGAAAATGTCACAGCTTACCTTCTTACGCGTTATTCCAAGCCTATATAGAGCACGGCATAGGGTCTCCGCGGGCCAAAACGCTGATCCAGTGACATTGGCGATATTATCAGCCACTTCATGGAGCTGCATTTGCGGGTTGCGAAGTATACAATCCATTATAATGTATTCTTTATGGGGAAATAGTGTTATGCTTCCCGTCGGGCGACCAAGACGGCATGAGTAGTAAAAGACCCCCCCCCCTCTGGCGGCGGAAGTAATTAGTATGCAAACTTAGGTGTCGAAATTAATGAGCTTCCAAAATCAGTGACGTCACTTTGTTCGACTAACACTCTGGCGGGATTTATAATGAGCTTGCAAAATCTATAACGCCAGGTAGCGCGACC